GGCCCTTCGGGCCTCGCCTTCGCATCAACCATACACACACACACAAATAGCGAGAGAGAGAGAGAGAGAGAGAGTAGGTGGGGGGGTCATCAAGTGATGCACACAGACACACACAGAGGGAACTCAGATAGAGAACTCACACAGACAAGAGAAGCCACGCTTAGGCTCGGCCCTTTGGGCCTCGTCTTCGTACGACAGAGAGAGACACAACCGGTGTGTGCAGGGGGCGGGTGGGAGGTTGCATGTGATGCACAGAGACACACACACAGAGAACACACACACATCATGCATTGGCTCCCATCTGCCCTGGTGTGTGAGGTCAAAAATCGATGAAACCAACTGTGTTGTCCACTCGGGTCCTCCAGTCCTCGTCCAACGGGAGCGAAGACGTAGGCGGAAGCCTATGAGGCGCCTGCCAGCAATAACTACACAGGATCGCAGTCTGCAACACGCAATTCTTCGTGCAAACCCGATCGGGTGGGAGCCGAGGAAAAGAAGCGCGATCGGGCTTGCAAGAAGAATCCCTCGCTCCCACCCACCCATCTGCCCCGAGCCTCAGGGAACCCGGGCCCATGAGGCGCCTGTCAGCAATGACCACACAGACCGCACAGAGCCATACCAAACATCATTCAATGGCTACAGTCTTGAGCTGCGCCTCACCTGATTCTTCCTCTCCTCATCATTCTAATCCTTTACCATCCCATTCAACGGCCCATGCGGCACACACCCCTGCCAAAGCCAGACAGAAACAAACACTCAGAGGCGCTCACACACCCCGCCCCGTGGCCAGTGTGGAAATGCGCATGCCCTGTGGCCGTCCCCGTCCTCCATGTGCATTTGTGAGAGGGTGAGCCCTCGCCGTCATGCCTGTCATGCTCGCGAGCGGCCCGTAGCAAGGGTGCCTTTGAAGGCGGCTGGCTCATGAGTGCGACGCTGTCTGAGAGACGGGCGAATCTCGGTCTGCAACACGCAATTTTTCGTGCAAACCCGATCGGGTGGGAGCCGAGGAAAAGAAGCGCGATCGGGCCTGCACGAAGAATCAAGGCCAGCAGTCAAGGCAATGCATGTCAGCTCCCTCCCTCCCACCCACCCACCTGCCCCAACGCTCCGCAACAAGCACCATTGCTCTCCCTACGTCCCTTCTCCTCCTCCTCCTTCCTTGTTCATTCTCTACTGCGGCGGGCGGACCGCGATCGTGGGGCGAGCCTGCAGGGCGAGCCTGGGCGAGCCTGGTCCAGGGTTACGCTAGGGTTTGTTACGGTTTTTTATATTAGATTGTTCGAATGAATGAATGTGGGTCGATTCAGGGCAGAAAGCCTCAACGTGACAGATGCTTCATGTCGTGGAGGCCACGCACGTGAAAGACACGATTTGACGTAATCAAGTCGACGTTGTCAAGACGCATTCAAACATACAGCCACTTCGTTCTGCTCACAGGCTTCTCCCTCCTTCTACCTAAGTCATTCGATGCCTAGCGGCACGAACAGGCCGATCTGCCTGTCGATTCGCCCGAGCTGCGGCCACGCGAATTGACAGTCCTGGTCGCCCAGGTGCTCGTTGAAGCTCTTGACCACACCCTCCACACCATGGCCGTCCGCCTCGTCCAGCCGGGCTCGGTGCACCACCTCACGCACACCCGTCATCTTGTGGACCACCTGCCCCCCACTGCCCCTCACGGCGAAGCACTGCAGCGGCGGCACGGTCACCTTAACGCGCTTGTCGCCCTGCTGCTGGTATCTCGTCCAGCCCACCACCTCCCTGTTGCTGCTCGTCTGTGTGGCCGCCGACTTGACGAAGTGGCCGACGGCCGCCTTGACGCGGCGCCTCAGCACCGACTCGCCGATGAGGTACTGGTCGATGGCGGCCACAGCAGCGGGGGGCTCGTGCAGGAAGGCGCCGATCTTCCATGCGATGGCCTCAGCCTCGTGTGGGCCGAATGCCATGTTGGATGGGGAGGGGTGGGGGTGGGCGCCGTCGTGGTGGGGGGCGAGGGGCAGCAGACGGGCGAGAAGCATCGAGTGGTCGCGCTGGGCGGCGAGGGCGCCGTTGATGGCCGACATGACGGCCTCGGACAGCTCACTCAGCACTGTGGCATACTCGGCCAGCACCAGCTGACGGCGACGGCGGTCCCTCTCCATGGCGGTGGGCATGAGGGCGATGGATGGGGCCGCCCCGCTCCTCAGCAGCACACCGATGATGGTCTTGTACTCGAGGATAAGTCTCGAGCGATTCTCGTGCCACTCTCCCTGTTGCTGCTGCCGTTCCGTGTGGATGTCGAGAGCAATGGCAGCGACGGCGAGGGGTGTCTGGTTGGGCAGATGCGGCAGTCCTCTGTTGATGTCGTCGGATCTGAGGTGGCGGCACAGCCAATGAGCCACACAGGGGGAACCAGCTTTTGCCGCCCAGTGCAGTGGCGTGGAGCCCCTGTTGTTTGCTGCCGTCATGTCGGCTCCGTGGCTGGTGATGAGCTCCAGGTACTCATCGATGAAGGACTGGGAGAAGGCAGAAAAGGGCGTGGCTGCTAAATGTACCAGATTCACCCCATTGAAGCGCTCCGCTGCGAGTGTGCTGTCGTGTTGGGCAAGTCGGCGGTACACCGAAATGAGAAGGTCCTCGTACTCACGAGTGGCGGAAGAGGCAGCACCAAGCCTGTTTGGAAGCTCCATCGCCGTAACTCCACGCACGTTGGCCTGACACGCCAGGAGTGCCTCGACAGCCGTCAGGTTGCCCGCACGAATCGCCACCTTGATGGGCAGCTGCTCAAATCTTTCCGCCCCGCTCCCATTGACATCCGCCCCACCGTCGATGAGTGCATTGATGATGTCACGCTGCAGCTCACGGGAGGGCCACTGCGGCAGGACGACGGGCAGAGGGTCACCAGCGCCGCTCGCGTCGAGCGATGGGTAGTTTGATGGACTGTCGATGGCGAAACACAGGCAGCTGTAGCGCCAGTACGGGGAGCTCCCTGTGGTGCCGCGGACACGAAGGCCGCCGATGGCTCTCGGGTCGGCTCCTTGACGTATCAGCCGTGTGACTTGGGTGAAGTCGCGGCGGATGCAGCCCTCCAACAGCTGCCGGCTGAGAGGACTGACGCCCTCATCAAAGACGATGTCGACGTCGTCCATCCCCTTGCAGCCGGGCGGCACAGCAAGAGCTCCTGCTTGCGATGCGGCAGACGACGGTTGGGCCATCACACCGAGTCACACCACTGCACGCACGTAGGCACAGACACACTGACAGTCACTTGCATGCCTCTTCCTTCCAGCGTTGGTGGCGCACCTGGTCAGTCAGTCACTCGACAGCCGCCACAACCCAAACATCAACTGAGAACACAGAGAGATGCCAACCCAACACAGTGGTGCTCCCATCACGGGTCGTTCATTGGTTCATTGGCTCATTCGTCCTCATCCGTACCATCACGTGAATCACCCTGGTGGGAATCAGACTCCCCGGGAATGCTCGATATTGTCGTTTGTTTTGTTTCTTGTGGAAGCATCCTCCTCTCCCCCCCTCCTTTCTCTTGCCGTTAACGACAATCCAAGCTCGCATCATTCCGTGCAACTGTTCGTCGTCGGCATGAAACTGCCCTCACAATGAACGGATGGAGGCCGCAGCAGACCTCTTGTGAGTGGCAATAGCAAGATCTGTGCGAGTTGGCGATGGCGAGTGGGCAGAAGGGTCAAGATCCTGCGGTCGTGCAGCGTCTGCAGGAGTTGGAGAAGGAGCGCCACGACATCATCATGAAGATGCAGGAGCTGGAGCAGCAGAGGAGCGAACACAGGTCAGAAGAACGACAGAAATACCGCGGCGATGACATGCAAACGGACGGGCTGTTCTCCGGTGAATGGATGAATGAATGGCTGTGCAGGCTGGTGATTCAAGCGTTCGAGAATGTAAAGCCGACGCGCCGATGCTTCAGGATGATTGGCAAGACAATCCGGCCGACGGGCCGTCCCGGATGCGGCCACCAGCCCTCTACGGGCTGTTCGCCTGATCCGCATCGCAGCTCTCTGCTGTTCTGGTTGGCGCTAGCTCTTCTTCTCATCCCCTCCCGCGTCGGGGAGTATGTGTGATTTGCGTGAGCTGCCATGAGAATGGCGGGGCCGCATCCTCCACTTGATCGCGGCTGTGGCGCCCTTGCTCATTGATGCGGCTGTTGCGCCTGCCACTCTGTACGCGTATCGCTCGCCCTCGTTGACCACTTTGAAGCTGTAAAGGAACACGCATCACACAGATGCCAGCTGTGTGGGTGTGAATCCTTTGTGTGCTCGCTGCCCTCTCTGTCTTCTGCAGCTCGCGGCCGAGCTGGAGGGCAGCATCAGCAGGTTTGTGCACACCAGGAGGGATGGGCATTTGTTGTGATGCATTCGTTGTCTGTGTGACTGCTTTGCCTGCCTGTGTGGCTGCCATAGGAGGTGCCTGCAGCCCCGCCGCAGCGCTGCGGCCGACTCTGGGCATGTGGTGAGTAAGATGAGCAAATAGATGCACGTACCCATCCCCATTGGTGAAACCCCTCTCTCGCCTCTGTGTGTTGGTCTGTGTTGTGCAGAGGGCCGGCCAGTCGGACAGCGCCGCCCGCTGCGGCATTCCGTCGGGCGATAGATAGATGTGAGAGTGTCCATATACAGAGGGGGCTCGGGAGTGGACAGAAAGGGATATGTGTGGTTTTGGCTGGCTGCTGGCTGACCGACAACACCCCGGTTGTCTGTTCCTTTATTGATGTGTGTGTGGGTGTGGGCGGTGGAGCGAGGCTGGTATGCGTGTCGTATGATGTATCTCAATCAATTCGTCTCGTGGGCTCGCCTGTGCGATTACGGATGGCCCGGCTGACTGACTGACTGACTGATTGATGGATGGATGGATGGACATAGATCGACAGCAAGCGACACGACGCCACACAGCGGGGCACAGCTCGTTGAGCATCGTTCACGGATACAAACGAGCTCATGCTTACTGAACAGGCGGGCTCTCTTCCTCTCTCTCCCCCGCCGTCTGTGTGTGTGTGTGTCTGAGTAACTGCCTAACCACATAGTTTTGGTTTTCATACTTATTGAGGTGGTGGTGGACCATGACACACATGAAGCTATTGCTGTATGGTGCTCAATCAAAAGTCAGTGTCTCAGGCGGGAATAGCATAGGCCTCCTCAATTTAATGTGTTGCCCTTGGTTGTCTCGTTGTCTTTATCGTAAGCCAGTGATGCATGCACCCATACCGGACACGAACCTATGCCCCAAGCAGGGTGGATGGATGGATGCAATGCAGGACATTGAAGTTGAGCATTGCACATACAGTCAGCACATGTCTAAGTCACATGCGACTGACGGGAGACGGTCTGCGTGCTCGGGATGCCGCAAAACTCGAGATTGATTGACTGAAACGTGTTGAATTGAACGTGGCCACATGCAACACAGAGAATCCGTCCAGACGTGTCCTCGAACTGCAGCAAAAACGAGCAGCACGAAATCGATGTGTATGTATTTGCCATGAATCAATCAGTCATGAACACGAAGTTTCATGTCACGTGTCACTGTTTGTATGCAATTGAAAGACGGCAAAACTCGCCAACAGAAGCGTCCGTGAATTGCAGCAAAAGAAGGAAAGAATGCAGCCACGTCGCCCCTTACTGCCATCTCCCCCTCTCCCTCCGCCCCTCCCTCTCAGTCGGTCGATGCCCAGCGACACAAACAGGCCGGTCCCCTTGTCAATTCGCCCGAGCTGGCCCCACGCGAAGTGGCAGTCCTGGTCGCCCAGGTGCTCGTTGAAGCCCTTGACCACACCAACCACACCATGGGTGGCCGCTTCGTCCAGCCGGGCTCGGTGCACCACCTCACGCACACCCACCAGGCGGGGCCCCACATCATGGCTGCCCCTCACGGCGAAGCATTGCAGGGGCACACGCACTATCACGCCGCCCACACTGGCCATGCCACCCACCACCTCCCTGTTGCTGCTCGTCTGTGTGGCCGCCGACTTGACGAAGTGGCCGACGGCCGCCTTGACGCGGCGCCTCAGCACCGACTCGCCGATGAGGTACTGGTCGATGGCGGCCACAGCAGCGGGGGGCTAGTGCAGGAAGGCGCCGATCTTCCATGCGATGGCCTCAGCCTCGTGTGGGCCGAATGCCATGTTGGATGGGGAGGGGTGGGGGTGGGCGCCGTCGTGATGGGGGGCGAGGGGCAGCAGACGGGCGAGAAGCATCGAGTGGTCGCGCTGGGGGGCGAGGGCGCCGTTGATGGCCGACATGACGACCTCGGACAGCTCACTCAGCACGGTGGCATACTCGGCCAGCACCAGCTGACGCTGACGGCGCTGCCCCTCGGTTGCTGTGGGCATGCGGGCGATCGATGGGGCCGCCCCGCCCCGCAGCAGCACACCGATGGTGGTCTTGTGCGCGCGGATCCGTCTTTGGCGCCGCTCTCCCTGGTACTGTCGCCTATAAAAGTCGAGCTCGTGGGCAGCGACGGCGAGGGGTGTCTCGTTCGGCATGCCTCTGTTGACGTCGTAGGCTGTGAGCTGGCGGCACAGCCAATGAGCCACACAGTGGGAGCCAGTTCTTGCTGCCCAGTGCAATGGCGTGCGGCCGATGTCGTCTGTCGCCGTCATATCGGCTCCGTGGCTGGTGACGAGGGTGAGGTACGCGTCGATGAAGGACTGGGAGAAGATGGAGCGGGCCGTGGCTGCCAAATGGATCAGACTGTTTCCACCGACCCGCTCCGCTGCGAGTGTGCTGTCGTGTCGGAGGAGCCGACGGTAGATTGACATGAGGGCGGCCTCGTAGTCACGAGTGGCGGGAGGGGCTGCACTACCGATGTCGGGAAGCTCATATATCACCCTGAGTCCCCGCAGGTTGGCCTGACGCGCCAGGAGGGCCTCCACAGTTGCCTCACTGCCCGCACGAACCGCCACCGTGATGGGCCGTTGCTCAAACCCGCCGCCATTCATTTCCGCCCCGCCGTCGATGAGTGCATTGATGACGTCACGCTGCAGCTGACGGGACGACCACTGCGGCAGGACGACGCGCACGATGGCAGGAAAATACCCGTCCGCGTCGAGGAATGCTACGTTCGTTTGGCTGTCGATGGCCAAACACAGGCAGCTGCATCGCGACAACGTGCAGCGTCCTGAGGTGCCGTGGACACGAAGGCCGCCGACGGCTCTCGGGTCGGCTCCTTGCTCGATCAGCTGTGTGAATTGGGCGGCATCGCGGAAGGTGCGGCGGATGCAGCCCTCCAACAGCTGCCGACTGAGAGCACTGACGCCCTCATCAGGGACGATGTAGACGTCGTTCAGGTGCCTACAGCCGGGCGGCAAAGGTGGTGCTTGCGATGCGGCAGAGGATGATTGGGCCATCACACCGAGCCACACCACTGCACGCACAAACAGCGACCCACACAGTCAATTGCAATCCCTCTTTCTTCCAACGTTGCTGGCGCACCTGGTCAGTCAGTCAGTCAGTCAGCCAGTCAGTCAGTCAGTCAGTCGACGGCCGCCACAACAAGGCGAGCTGCCACCCGAGCCAGTGGTGCTTGGCTTTTCCATCACACATCGTTGATTCGTCCGCATACCATACCATCACATCAGCAGGTGAATCAGACTCCAAAACAAACGCTGCTTCTCCGCCTGCTTCTTCACCGAGAGCTCAACACCTGACAACACACACAGCATGCGCAAACAGGGAGGTCACGCATGCTCGGGCTTTTCGTTTGTTTGCTTCCTTACTGTGTCTGCTGATATGGACAAGCTGTGAAAGAGTCGTTTTGCTTCACTTTTCTCCCTGCGCGATCGGCGGGCCAGCAGTGACAAGTGGAGTGGACTGCCTGCAGGCGTGTGTAAAACAGTAAAGCCGAGTGTTTAGGTAATGCGTGAAACCGGAAGGGATTGGCATATATCGTTTTCTTTTTTCCCTCCTTCGTTCGGCTGCCGAACGACACGCGAATGGCATCAGGAGCGAGAGATGCTGTCTAGTTTTGCTTAACCAAAACAGCTCTCGCATACGCTGCCTACACGCCTCGGAATTCCACGAGGTAAGAATCCCGAAAATCAAATTCATATAGGGGATGATCTGCGGGCTTAAGCGCTCCAAACGTGTTGGTGCATATGAGAGGGACGTGCTGAGGCGGAGAGCGGTCGACCCATTTGCTGGTCCATCCACAGCAACTCAGTGGAGGTAGGTGCCGACCGGCACAGAACCAGAAGAAGAGAAGCAGCCACCTCAGATCCTGAGGGAGAGGAGCAATCGCTTCAGATCTGTTGTTGGTTTCCAGATGTCTGGCGGAGCTGACGAGAATGCCGGCAAGCGGCCTCGTGTGGACACTTATGACTCATCGCCCGCTGCTGCTGCTGGAGGTGGGGAGAGGGACTCGGGAAGGGAACAGACCGACTCACTCATGGCCGGCTGCCTTTGTTGCCATGCTCTCTCGTCATGCAGGTGGAGGATGTAGCACTGGTGTAGCTGTAGATGGCGGGCAGCCGTCGGACCAAGGGGTGCATCCCGTCATAGACTGGGTCAGCAGCACAGCCACCTGCAGGGACGACACGCGCAGACAGACGCACTTGATGGCTCTGTGTGTGTCCGTGTGTGCGTTCATTCCCTCAGGCCGACAAAGCGAATGTTTGTCGGCTGGTCCCCTTGTTGAAGAAGATCAAATCGCTCGAGGCGCAGACGGCGGCCGTGCTGTCAGAGGTGCGACCACACGTCACTCCCACACTGGCCGACAAGGTACACACACACACACACACACGCCCTTCTCCTCCTCTCTGTGAGTGGTGATGTGTGTTGGCAGGTGCCGGGCCTGTCGAGTAAGCTGATGACGGTGGAGCAGTCGGTGGCGTCGCGACACGACACGCTGCGGGGTCTCATCAAGACACTCGACAACGTGGCAGTCGCCAAGCCGCCACTCCCGCAGCCCATCGCCACCAAAACCCTCCCACCAGACGCCACAATAACCCAGGCAAGCCACACATCAGACCAGCCCAAACATCCACACAACATGACACTTCCGCCCCTGTGTGTGTGGTCAGCTCGGTCGTCCCTCTCTGGACGGCCTGCCGCCCGACGTGGCGCACATCGTGTTGGCCTTCCTGCCCACCAAAGACTCCGCGCCCCTCTCCCGCGTCAACCAGTCGATGAGGCACCTCGTCACCGACGACACCAGGGGCGTGGCGTGTACCGCCGCTTGGTCATCGGTGAGGACGAGCGACAGTGGTGGGATCGGGGCATTCGGAGAGGTGCCGTGTGGCGACGGCATCGATGGGGATGGAACACGCGCAACGACCTTGGCATCGATGGCGACGGCAGCAATGAGGAGGATGTACAAGAAGATGAGGAGGAACAAGAGAAGGAAGAGGATCAGGGAGGGGAGGGAAACGACGAGGAGGGAGAGGGAGAGGACGACTCGGCCGGGGAGGGGGCGGCGGGCGGGGCGGACCTCAGACGGCAGAGAGAGGAGACACTTCCCATCCTGAAGCAGAAACTGGTGCTCCAGCACACCGCACCAACCAAGTGGAGTGACCATGGCTGACCTCTGTCTGTCTGTCTGGTGGCAGGGTCGGCTGCGGACGGTGCACATCAGCGCTCACTGGAAGGCCCTCGACTTCCCTCTCGAGTGCATCGAGGCCTCCCGCGACACAGTGAGGAGCATGAAGCTCTGCGAGAAGAGACTCGAGAACGACGACGAATTTGAGGATTACCCCTACAGCGTGCCGACTTCACCGTCCACTGTGACCTTCTCGCAACTTGAGGACCTTTACGTCGAACAGTGGCCAGATCACCGCGGGTAAGCATGACTGTTCTCCATGGTCACACCGCTATGCACTGATCATCCCCTCTGTGTGTGTGTGTGTTTAGGTTTCGAGGGTGGCGATTCCCATCACTTCTTCGCCTGCGAGTTGGGGGGCGCGGCTGGCATGCCAAGGACATCGTGGAGCATGCTCCAAAGCTCACTTCCCTGTGTAAGCAATCGCCTCCCACATGCACGCACCTCCTGCATCCACAGATCAATTCTCTGCCCCTCCCACTTGTCTGCAGCGATCGGCGAGCTGTTTGCTGACCACGAGAAGGATGTCGTCTCCCTCATTCAGGGATCACCGACATCGAGTGGGTGGAGCTGTGCCCCTATGACTTCACGTGGAAGCTGGGGAGGCTCAAGAGTGCTCTCGACCCCATCTGGAGCAAGGATAGTCTGAAGGGTGCGTGAGCCACCGAGCGAACAGACAGAGGAACCACCGACAGGCTGACCGCACTGTTTGTGCCTATGTGCAGACGTTGAGAAGAGGATCGGCCTGGCGTACAGTAACTACATCTCCGTCCCCTTCACCAATGAGCTGCTCCATCCCACAGGACGTGATCAGATGAGCCTCCCTGCCTTCGTCAACTGGGCAGGTAAGTTAGTACGACGAACCGACAAATGGACAAACAGGAGGATTGCAATGCTGTGCATCTGCTGTGTGTGTGGGTCTGTGTGCAGCGTCGGTCAAGTGCACGGTCGACTGGAGTGCCGGTTGGCTGGTTATCGACTGCTCCAGGGACCTCGTCATTTCGCCTCCTGCACCCACTGGCCCCATGGCAAAGATGATCAAAGACGTCAGCAAGACAGCATACAAGGTGGGGAGCGCACCAGACAAGAGGCCGCAAACAGACGAAGACTCACCCCTGCTCCTTGTCTGTCCATGCAGATGACTCTGCGGTGTGGCGGGAAGCCTCTGGACCAGTCATGGGCCGGCCTGCTGGTCTTCACCATGGCCACCGAGCTATCGGTGGAGGGGCTGACGTCATCCCGGGCCTTGTCGAGTGTGCCGCAGTGGATGGCAGCCAAGAGCGACACCACCGGTGGCAATCGCCACCTGCCCAACGTCACCAGCCTCAACCTCCACGCCGACCATAGGGTGTCTGCTGATGCGGCAGGTCTCAATGGCCTGGGTGCGTTGCTGGGCACATTAGACAGGCTCACGGCAGTCAGTCTGGCATGTTTGTCGAACCTGGGCGTGGCAGCATTTTGCCTATCGCAGCTGCCCCCCACTGTCACTTTAGAGAGCGTCGAGGTGGTGGCATCGGTGTGTGGCTCAGATGTGCCCGCCACCTCTGACTGCACCCGATACCCTCACGTCGCCTCTATGACTGTCGAAGTGATCAATAGCAAAACGATGAGTGGGGTTGCATCTGGCGTCGCGTTGATCGCTGCCGTGCGGCCTGCGACTGTCTGTCTGAAAGCGTCTGTCGATCTGAGTGCTTTGCACAATCGGGAGGGGGGTGAGAGCAGAGAGGCTGAGTTCCGTAGAGGAGTGGAGCAGTGCATTGACCAGGCAGAGCGAGACCATTATGGGCTGATTGCCAATGAGAGCAGGGCGGGGGACTTCGATGAGGAGGGGTACCCTGCACGTGTAGAGCTGCAGCTGGTGAGGCTGCCAACGCATTCATGACATGTCGATGGATGACTATCTCGCTGTACAGAACATCGTGTCTAGCGGGGGCGGCTGGGCTGTCTGACGTTTGGGGGCTGGATGCGATGCGAGTTGGCTATTTCTACAGTCTGCCTCGAATTCCCTTCGCCGATCAGTGTGTGTGGGTGACGTGTTGATGCATTCGATCATACGCGGCTGCAGTGACACTGTTCGTGCTTATAGATATCAAGCCTTCTCTGGATGTCTGAGCAATGAGCATCCATATTGAAATCCATGAGCCCCGACATCCATTCATTCCTCCCGTCCATTCCCACTCTGCCGACACACACACACACGTACGTCCCACCCGCCTCCCGCGACCCTGCCTGTGGTGTGTGGCACACTGTGTGTATGTTCGCTGTGTGGACGCTTATCAATCAATCTCTCTCTCACAGCGGTTGAATGCACTGGCAGTCTGTCTCTGTCGCTTTGATCAGTCCTTCGATGCCAGCGCACACAATATGTACCACAAGACTGATCAACGGGCACGGCCGTCTCCGCAGCCACTGCCTGCGTGCATACGTTTCTGTGGATAGCTGACTGGTTGCCCAGGGCTGGCGGGCGGGCGGCTTGACGTGTCAGTGATTGTCTTTCCCGTACGTGCCCTGCCTCTCTGTGTCTCCATTCCTCGGCTGGATTGACCCATCTCATGCTCTTCACTTGTCAGCCGCAGTGACAAGCGTGAATGGGATCAATCCAGCTGTGAAGTGAAGACTGTCATTCACGTTCAATCAATGAAGGTGGGTCTGTCCAGAGCAGAATGGCTTCATGTGGTGGCCTCACCCAAGCAACGCCGCACTACCACCAGACTGAGTGCTCGCCGCACCACTGGCATGAGAGACACTTCATGTGTCGCGAGGCCACGCTTATACCAAAGACACATCCTTGAATGAGACCGAGTCAATCTTGTCCGTATGCACATACAAAGCACTCAGCGCCCTCGAATTGCGACGAAAAGCACCGAAACGTGCAGCCACTTCACCCCCCACTCTACGGCTCTCCCTCTCCCCCTCCCTCTCAGTCAGTCGATGCCCAGCGGCACGAACATGCCGGTCCCCTTGTCGATTCGCCCGAGCTGGCCCCATTCGAACTGACAGTCCTGGTCGCCCAGATCCTCGTTGAAGCCCTTGACCACACCCTCCAGTGGCACCCCATGTGTGCCGGCCTCGTCCAGCCGGGCCCGGTGCACCACCTCACGCA